GTAACCACCGTGGTAGATAAGCTATTCTATTACATCAGAAGAATAAAACTCTTGCTTATCCTGAATATTTCCGAGGAAATCAATTTCTTGGATATGGTACAATCAAATTAATTGTGCAATTTTATTCAGAAGATGGTATTAGTCGCATATCCTTTAATACTAAAAGCTGTAATTAATATAAAGCATGAACTTTTTCTGCTTCAATTCATGGAAATGACAGTTTGAGAAGCATTAATAAAATTTTATGGTGATCATTCAATGATCAAAGTCGGTAAATCTTCTTTCTATTTGTTGAGACCTCGTCAAGTTAAATTAGATCGTCCGCACGAAAACATGAGTCTTTTAGTAGAAGTAAGTGTCTTTACGGTTAATTACAAAAAAAATATTTATTTTGTTCTTTCATAGGCTTAAAATAAGTATATTCGAATCGGTTGCCTTTGTCAATTCTCCAACGTCATTGCATTATTATAGTTCAATAGTCTCGGATTATTATCTAATGATACGTCATATGCCACAGTACAGATGGATTTTGCGCAAAATTACACAATAATCACTCAACGGGAAGTGCAAGCAGCTCACTGGAACAACTTGCAGGCTACGCTATTTACAGTGTACACAAAAAGTCGGAACATGTTATAAAAATAAGGTCATCGTTAGTAACTGTATGCGTCACGACACGACATTTGTATATTGTGCTCAACAATTGATTCTCGAAATACCAAAATCAACTATGTTAGGTAGTTTTAACAGAAGATCTTATGTTAAACCGTTTTCGTGTGTTTTAGTGATGGAGTGACAAGTCACTATAAGAAGCAATATAACACAATTATTTTGATCCATTAGGGTGCTTAAGATGCATGCAAATACATAAAATATTCTTTTCACAAGAGAGGATATTTAAGCTTATTCCTTTTATGTAAAAATCTATCTCCTGAAAAGTTTGACTATTTTATATTTATTACAATTACCAATTCGTCAGTAAGTTTATTTGATATTTTGAATATAAAAACAAACCACTTTCTTAATCTATATAGAAAATGAATAATCAGCCGCAACTGCATTACCACTAGCACAATAATAACAATCCGTCAATACTAATGTTCATACTGATACAGTCCGATATGTGTAGGACAAGCTATTAACGTACTCGCTTCATGTGAAACAGTACCTAAAGATCGTGCTCTCGTAATAACTGTCGGTATGTAGAACAGTGAGAAGCGTTCAAGAACTGATAATTCTCATTAATTGAATTTTTTGCGATTAGAACATCATGAATATGATCGTGAAGTACAAGACAATTGAAGGTGGTCGTGTTTTATTCAAATAATGATATTCAATCGTTAATTTAAAAACAATTATTTTTACTTTTATCAAAAATCTTGTTACTTGTATTGAAATATTTCTTTGATCTTTATTTTTTTCTATTCTTTCCGATTATTCTTCTTATATAAATAAAAGCTAATGATTTATATTTCAAAGTATGCTCATAAAGAAAAAAGTTAGTCTTACTTAAGATTTCACTTTTATCGTAATTGATTATCAAGTATTATCTAATGTTATTCAGTCAATATACATTTCTTAAATAAAAACATTTTCACTAATGACAAAAGAATAATGAGATACACAACTTCGCATGTAAGGATAGATACAAGATATATCCTTTTGATATTCAATACGGAGTGTGGGTATGTATGTTCTTCTCATTGATTACCTTCACCCACTCATACTCACACCCACCCACCCTAATCAATGATTTTCCTATACAAACTTCAATGGTTTAGATAATATTTTATATTTACTTTACCGAGTAAGATAAAAAAAAAGTTAACTTCATTTTACTTTTTCAAAGTAAAATAAAGATAAAGGATCATATTCCTATTGAACGACATGTATTAAAATGATAAAAGTGATTGATTATTCCTATTTTATCTTGATCCAATGGCAATACAAAATGAAAAATATTAATTTAGACCTTTTTATGTGCTCTGTACATGATACATTCTCTTCTTTTTCATGTTTATTTGTTTCGGTTCGCACTCCTCTCACTTATCTTTTTGCTCCTCTTCCATATTTTATTGTTCTGACTTGGAGAGGATGTGTTGGAATGTATGTATGCATGAAAGTAGGCGTTGGCAGCGGTAGATATATATTGTTCTGTTCTGTGTGTTTGGTGTGGGTGTGTGATATGTCATCATTCTTTTTATATGGATTAGTGTTCGTTTATGGAATAAATTAACGTTTCACACACATGTAATTTTGTTCCTTTCTTTTTTTTTTTTTTAAATCAATATTAAAATAGAAATGAAAAATAAATACTCAAATATATAAGTAATTCGTTTATTTTTTTTCTTTCTCTATTTCTAATTATATGGAAAGATACAATATTAATTCTTATCTATTTTACTGGCTTTTACTCCAATCTCTCTATTAACCGTAGATGGTTCACCAAAATTTTTATCGATGACATAGTATCATTTTATTAATTGGACTATTTATACATTTGCTCAATTAGATATTGGTTCTACAATAGAATAATGCTTAATAATGATAAACAAAAATGAAATAATGATTTACTTAAACATTTTATTTTAACTGAATCTGGACAGATAATGACATCAGATCATCCATCACATGTTTGAGATCTTATTCGTTTTATGTTCGGATCAGACGTACTTACTAATGCCAGTTTACATTATTAAATAAATGTAATGATAAAGAATTTTTATCAATTTATAATGGTGCTATGACAACAATGTCAATACAAACAGGTAATAAATTAGTTGATAGTGTTGATTTAAATTGATTTAAAACTATAATTGATCTTAGAGGAAATTGTAGAGCATTTTTAGCACAAATTCTTAATAAAGTTAATAATGGTGAAGAGTTTATATCACGTGAAATATCTAACAATAAATGAAGTTCTATTTTTGGTGATATGCTTGATTTCTCAACTATTCCATTAGCAGATGCATATATATACTTAAACATATTTTACATGATTTTAACGATAACAGATGTTTAAAAGTTTTATCAAAAATTTCTCAACCAAATGGAAATCAAAAAAATTCATTAATAACTATATTTATTGTTGAACATATTATTTTACCAGAAGATGCTGTAGGTGGCAAACATATGGACGTGTTATGTCTATGACTATTTTAACAGATAATGTAGGAGAAAGGACACAACTCAATTTTATTGTTAATTAATTAAGACATGAGTGTGGATAAATGAAAATACTTTTCTTGTCACAACAAAATAAAGAAAATTTTTTAAAAAAATTCAAAGTTTGTTTCTAGATTATTTATGAAATATTTAATTCAAGTATTTTTATATAAATATCATTCACTTTCAGATTTCCACCTACAGAAACTTCGCCATTGAAAGAGTATTAAAATTTTGTTACAAAGTAAATTATAAATACCCATAACATTTGTACACTGATCAAGTTGAGAATATTCAGAAATGAAATAATTTGATATATTTGGATACAAAGTTATAAACGGTCCAGTAAATATTCCATTATCTTTATCCCAAATCCATTGATCTAGTTGATCATATTTTTCTGTACTAGTTCGCCAATTATAAATCTTTGTTGAGAAATCAAAACATAGAATAGCTTGATTTTTATAATGTTGTGGTTGTTTCCATTCATCAAGAAACGATAATTTTTTTGTTATGAAAGTTAAATCTTTTAAACCTTTTGATGAAATATTTTTATGAATCTCTTCAATAATATTATTTTGATGAGCAGAAACATAAATAAATGAAAGATTTTGATGCCATTTAATTGATTGTCCTTGACTTAATGAAAAACTAAATCTTACAGATGATTCAATTTTTGTTTGAATATCTTCTAATGATTGACATGTTGAAATATATTGAATAAAAGAATCAAGTTGTAAATATACTAAAACATAATTATGATTACATTCAAATGTTAATATAATAACTGATTGATAACTTTCTTTAGTTAATACATCATCAAAAGATACTTCAATTTCAATAGTTGGATTTTCAATTTTTAATTGATGAATAAATTCAAATGAATATTTTAATGCATCATCAGAATCAATATGAATATGAAGATTAGTAATAGATCCTAAAACTTCATTAAGACATTCTTTTATGAAACTTTTTGGAAGATTTTTATTAATAATTTCATTTTTCCATGGAAAACCAATGTGTTGTTCAATACATTGTTGAACAATCGATGAAGTAATAGTCGTCAGATTATGTTTAATCATAAATGAATTCAAATTAGTACAATCAATATAATGTCTAGAAATAGATTCGTTATTAAGTATAGATGAACAAAAATCAACTGTCAATCCGAATTGATGTGCCATTGAATCGTCTTGGTCATTGACGTGAATCTGATGTAATTTTCCATTTAATAATTGTGCAATCATATCATTATTAAGCCAGTGAAGTTCAGATGTTTTTGGTAATAAAAATGATAATTCTGGTTTTTCACCGACGATTGATCTTAATTGAGCTAATTGAGCACGTGTATCATCCCATCTTGGATTATTATCTAATGGAATTTTTTGTCGAAAAAATGGTAAGTCTCCATGGGGTCCATGAGCATATTTCATATCGATTATTGTATGACGACGATCTATTAAACCACTTGATATGAGTGAATCAACATTTGGTGTTGCATTATAAGTATTATAAGCCATAAATACAGAACATGGTTTTATTTCACATTTATCTATTGTATCAATAAAATGAATTTTTTCTAAATCAAGAATTTCTGTATATGGATCATAGATTTGTAAATAATCAATTGTACGATCAAATTCTAGTTTCCATATATTCATTCCGCACCAGAATGATGATGATTTTACAATTTCTTGACGTAAAGATTCAATTAATTGAAATCTATTAGATTTGTTCGTACAACTAAATACGGGTATAATACACCATTTTCTTTCATCTTCGTTTATATTACAAATTAATAAATCAAGATCTTCATACAAAATATCAACTGAATAGATAATAGCATGTGGTAAAGCACATCTTATTAAATGTAAATGTTCACTTTCAAATGCACCACCAAAATCAACAATAATATCTAAGAATTTTGATTCAGATTGCTCAATTTGATCTAATAATTTATTTGTATCACATTCTCGAGGTTTTGTTTCAAATGTTGAATAAAACAATTTACGATAAAGAAGTATTGCCTCATCTAATGTATAATCCATCATTAAAATAACTCTTGGATACGTTCGATAACATACTTGCATCATTGACCTTCCATTTTTTATTGGATGTACTTCTTCAAATTGTTTTGCTAGTTCATCACTTATTACGAATTGATCATTTATTATTCCAACAGTTGAATTTTGTGAATAATCAGATGAGGATAGAACATCAATTGTTTTATAAATCGATGGCATTGTGAAGAAATCTAATGAATTATTTTGTGAAAACTGTTTTTATAAAATATATTTATGCAAAAATATTTTGGATTTATCCAACATACAAAAAATGCCCGTGAAACTTTCTAAACAATGATGTTATAAAATATTTATTCTTATCATCCACATGATACAAGGTAGATAAGTGTGTCAACATTTAAGAATAACTTGAAAGCAAAGTAAAAGTGTATATTTATCTCAAAATGAAAGACGGTGTGGGTGTTTCTCTTTTGTTCGTTATCCTTCTCCACGCTCACCCACATCCACATATCCACTCACATTCACACACACACCCACACTAAACCCACACGCACACTCACCCACACCCTCAAGATTAATCACAACTAGTCCTGTTCGAACTCTTTTTGTCTGAAATCTACATCGAGAAACGACAATCATCTTTCCACTCTCAATAACTTTAATATTGTTGTACATCAATTAAATATTCATCAGAGTTTTTCAAAGATAAAATATTAATAATCGGTTTAAGACCATAATCAGAATAAATAATTTTGGATGTTCTTGAAAAAAAATCATCATTGATATTTCTCATCATTTTGTATTAAATATGACTTTAATTTTACAAAAATAATCAAAAAACTTGTATGTATGACGCATTCATTTATTTTTTCAATCGCTGCGGACATTTATAAATATACTAGGAGCATCGAGTATGTTATATATTTTCAAGGCTGCATATTTATGTATACATGTGACACACCTTATTTACTACAGGAAGAAGAAAAAAAAGTACAAAATTCAATACTTGTATATGAGAAAAACGTAATTTATAATGTTTGTTCTTATGTTTGAGCGTTAAACATAAACGTGTATAGTTACAAACGACGCAAAACGTTGAGTAATCATAAGAAAGCGCTCGATTTCTTTTTTTTTGCGTCGCATATATTTGGTGTATAAAAAGAGAAGCGATATTCTTTTTGTCTTAAACATTATAAAATTCTTTATCAAGCAATCAATTCATTCATAATAAAAAAAAACATGAGTAAGTTTTTTTCTTTTAATTTATATAACATTAATTTTATTTTCAATAGACTTTGTTACAAACAAAATTGAAGAAAAAACAGGTATGGACATCAATAAAGATGGTCATGTCGGAGGAGGTGGTGTTACTGGACAAATTGAAAAAGCTACCCACATGGATTTAAATCATGATGGAGTTGTTGGAGGACGTCAAACTGGAGGAGGCGGAGCAGGTATGTAAAATATTCGTAGAAATAAATAATTATTTTTAAAATTCTATGTATAGGTCTTCTTGGTAAAGCTGAACAAGTAACACATATGGATCTGAATGGTGATGGTCGTGTTGGTGGTGGAGCTCCTCGTAATCATTAAATAACTAACCAGATAATTTATTGTATATAAAATTTTAT